TCAGCAAATGTTTGGGATTTGGAGATAGCAGAAAGCTGAGTGCAAGGAGAGGAAGAGACTAAGTGAAATCTAATTGAGCAGCTTGGCCAGACATCAGGGCTGAAACAACACTGTGATGCGTGCCAGATGTGGTCCAGTGGAGCCCAAAAACATTAATAACACGTCCTCCCCGAAAACCATTTTCAACCACGAGGAGCCTCTAAACGCTCCACAGTTTACAATATCCTAAGTACACACACAGCGTCATGTGTCGGATCTTGGCACAGGAGCGTGTAGCTGTAATTCAGTAGCATAAGATCTTCCGGTGTGATTTATGTTGCACTTGCTCTTAATTGTAAACTCGAAACTATTGTGAGCAGACACACAACCCATCTAAAGATGTTCAGAAGCGTCTTTTACAGAAAGGTTTCATACCGCTGAAAGACGGGATCTTAACTTTTTCCAGTCCGTAAAAATGAATGATTTGCATCACTAGGGGGATTTAGGCTTTAAAATATGGTTTTGTCCTGCTTTTGAACCCAGTTGGAGCTCATATGCATCCTGCCACATTGTTCCTATGGTAGAATTTCCTTTTGATGTACTTCTTTCTAGGAAAAAGCTCTCAACAAATGCCTATAAATAAAGCAAGAATGAATTATGTATTTGAAACATTTCCATTTTTCCACATGAGCATCCAGCCAATTGCCAATAGCTGAGAGACTATGCATAAAATTTGATACATAAAATTTTACTATATTGTAGAAATTATGAGTGATGTTAAAGTTTTCCTATGAAACAAGATCTGCCCCACCCCCCGTTGGTTTTGTTTTTTTGGCTGCCCAATCTGCTCATTTAAAGCACCTCAGACTGATGCAGGGCTTTGCTTCCGGCCACTTTTCGTACTGATTTTTTATCCTGAAACATAACCTGCTTTACCCGTTACTTCAGCTGAGGCCGCGCATTGTATCTAAAGAATTGCAGAACAGCTGAGCTTGGAACAGCTCCGGACTTGCACAAAACACTTCAGTGTGTGGATGCTGACGTGCCAGCAAACACAAGGCTTGAAGCAAACTATATTTGAAGGATGTTTTCATCATCAGCTGGCCACCCAGTTTACTGGATGATGGGGAAATAATTTCATCTTTTCTCCCTGTTTGATGCCAACTCGCTGAAACCAGCAGTCACGCTGCCTGATAACCTTAATGGTGACACCATGAGAAAACTTTAGTTCTTGGCAGTAGCTCCTTAACAACAGCACTAATATTAGAGCAGTGCATGACTAATGTTTTATACTTTGTTAATGAATATGCAGTATAGAAACCAAGATCCCTGGCCCACATCAAAAACAGTGGTTACAAACTGGCACGCACAATTTGTGATCCATCCGATTACCAGGACGGCCCAAAATGCTATTAATACCCCTGAGTAGAGTGAGGCTTTAAATGCTAATGGCTTCAAAGAGCAATGCCACCTCAATGTCGTATAAGCAGCCTTCACAGAGCTGAACATTGTGCATTCTCGTACGAAGATATCTGTGACCAGTCTTCAGGTGCAGAACAAAATATGTGGTGCTAGAAGCTTTGTGTTTTCTGCGTGTAGTCCAAGCAGTACTGAGCATCACCTTTAAGTGGACCTTGGTTACAGGCAGGTAAATATTCAATGTAGACAACAAAAGAGGGATTACATTTGCCAGAATCACAAACTAGCATGATTATTTATTTATTTATAATTTAGCTTCACAAAACACACACACACACACGATAACAAGTCTTATACAATGACTATAGTGCGAGCCCTAAAATAGTATTGTCCCCAGGAGTCATCAGACTGATGACTCCTGATGATGGGCTGACGGGTTCCCAGACTGACCACTGATTAAATCAGTCCCTGCCAGCCAGCACTTATACAGTGTTCACAAGGATGCCAACGTTTAAGGCTTACATGCAGTCATATCAGAAGACCCTGAAAGAAATCTCTGGGGCAAAAGTAGTTGCCAGCTATATATTATCAAAGTCCAACAATAAAACAAAATTGGTTTACAAGTTAGATATGCAACTTTTATGGCAATATTAATAATATTTAACCTCTTAAAATCCAAAAGATGAGCAGTGATTTCATCTAGGGTTAAGGATAACGTTTCAGCCAGATGCTAAACTATGAAATGTCATTGTAAATTAAAAGCCTTGGCTTTTAAACAAGGATGCTTCAAACAGGTTAAAAAGACGTTAAAAACCAGAGAATAACTCCCATATGAGGTGATCCTTGGCGTAAACAGGCTTATTATCCAATCTAATGGATGTTTTAACAAGTGCAGATCTCATGTTGTGTCCTTGTGTTTTACAGGTTGCTGCAGAAAGTCTCGTCAGTTATTACAGAGGTATGAAAAGACTGAAAGCCACATGCTGGTTTGCACAGACTGTCCTCAGCTCCCATTGATACGAACCAGCAACTCAGAGGAACGCTGTGCCCGGAAATGCAAAGTGAAGAAAAACTTCAACTGCAGGTGAATTATATTTTGTTCGTGTGTTTATCTCATTTCCCGCACATGGTGTCTTTATAACCAGGTTTCCTCAATCCTCTTGTTGTCCTTCTGGTATTTACACATATTTCTTGTTTTATCAGCTATTTATCTCTCAAGTACTTCCTGGGTGTTTTTCAGAGCCTTTAACTTTCAGCGGCACAGCAAGAAATGCCACCTGCTTCCTTTTGACCGTTTCACCAACAACGTGCAGAAGCAGGCCAACATCACCTTTACTTTATACGAAAAAAAAGGTAAATGGCAAAGCCCCAAAAAGAACTTGATGTAATTCGCTTTTGTTTTTTGGGTTTTTTCTCATGAGAACATTCAGGTGCGGGGAGGTATTTACACGGGCAAAATGTGTAATTGCTGATTGCTCCTCAGTTTTTTAAGTCTTTGGTTTCTCTGTTGATGCAATAAAAGGAACCGAGCCACCTCACCCCCCGCTGTTTAATCACCCCAGCGGGGAAAGTCGCACGCAAAAGCACGTCGAAGACTTAAGTGGAATATAAACAACAAAAAATCATTGCTTACAGTCAGAGCGCAAAGCTCTCTCAAGAGTCAGCTATGGAATCTAGCACTTTAGACTGTGCTACAGAATTTACAAAAGCTCCCCCCGGTGACATTTAATGAACTTTAGGGAGTCGTCTGTTTAGGGAATAACACACAAGCTGGGACCTACTAAAAAAAATACAAAATACAAAATGTACCATTTATGAGAAAATAAATTCCAGGAGGTCAAGGCTGTAAAGGCAAATTAACTTTTAATTGCAGGAATTATATCTGAATTAACACATATACTTTTTTATGCCTTTGCTGTTATTTAGATTACATAAGGGAGTGTATCTCTGGCACCATGGACAACTACAGAGGAAGGAGGTCATGGACAAAGTCAAATATCACTTGCCAAGCTTGGTCAGATAATAACATCAATGAGCACACGTAAGTCATCTCTCTTTTTATTTAATTTATGCCTTTATTGGTGAGCAATCACAGATACAGAGAAGGAAATGCAAGGGAAAGGGAGCAGCGCAGCCCCATCTGGAACCAACCTGGTAACTCGTTATAAGCGCCATTTCGGCTGATGTGATTTACGCTATAATTGGGATGCTCCGAGTCCCGTCTTTTACACAGGAAAGTCAATAGCAAGTGCATTTTTCCATTCAGATCGTGTTTGAGGAAGAAGAGTTACTTGTGATGCCTTACTCAGCTGTACCCCAGAGGGTTTTTTTTTTTAAAGGAAAAGAACATGTTAATCATTCGCTTCCCCTTACCAGATTCTTGTAGATTTGAAACAACAGGCTTCAAAGCTTGCGTCTCTAATCTCCATGCTTCCACCACCTTCCTGGATGCTCCTTCTCTGTGTCTGACACTGAACAGGCCTCGGCAGCTGATTTATTGATGTTCAGTTCATCCCCTTGCACCTCTGGGGTTAAGGGAAGGCGGAGGCTCAGAGACAGTTGAACGTTTATCCAGAGTTAAGTCAGATTTCTTTCAACACATGTAGCCACCTCCTCCCCGGTGGGGCTGTTTATTTTTTTTGGAGCACTCCAGACCATCAGGTGTATCCCCGAAGATGTTTTCTCCCAGGCACAGCAAGGCAAAATCAGTGAATTTGCAAAGATGGTTCTGTGCCAGGGCCTCATTAGCGGTGCTCGTTAGTTATAAGATATTTTAACTGCAGCTAAGGCGGCGGGGTGGGGGTAATAATAACCGTTTGAAGAAGTGCAGTGTGAAAAAAAGTAGAATGGAGGTAAAAATGAAAGAAAGAAGGTGCAAAGACTTATAGACTGAAGTCATGTTCTGTCTGATGTCCAGCTGAGCTCACAAAGCCACAATATTACTGAGAGAAAATACAAGGTCAGTAATACAATCAAGAGAATTAAATGTTGATCCATTTTTACCCCCCTTCTTCCACATTCCCCTTAAGTCCTATTTTCATTTCAAGAAGCAGTTATTCACAATCTAAATCCTTTGTCATTGTTTATTTGGCACATGGTCCCAGTCTCCTTCTCAGTTAGAAGGGGACTTCTACCGTTTTGACTTTCGGAGGGTCACAGGGAGCTTACTTAAGGAAGATTTAGTGGGTTACCTAACATGGGACCATCCCGCTGTGTGAGAATTACCACCATAATGAACCACGCACCATTTGAGTTTCAGGTAACTATTATTTTCACGCTTGACTGATCAGTGTGGGGCAGGGGTGATTTCTCAGGAGGTTCCCTTCCCGGAAAGGGACTTCCACCTGTTATCTATATTTAGTGTTTGAACCAAGGCTCCGAAAGAAATGTGCACTGATGTCCAGCCAAGCATGGAGAATGGAATATTTTTCTTCTTATTAATAATAATAGATAATATTGCAATCATTTATCTGTACCCCTAGGGACTTTCTTTTGTTTTTCTACCAATTTTTCCAATGGGATGTCAGTGAATGCTCTACAGCTACAGGCACATGCACAGTTACAGCTTTGATTTATGATTTTCTTGAATGGAAAATATTTAGCATCTTAGTAGTTTAACCTTTGAAAGTTTAACCTTTCAAAACATAGGAAAAACGAGATTAGCAACACGCTTAGAACTGCACAGAGATAAATTATTCTAAAAAACAGGGAACTATTTTTCTGTTTTTGAAAACATTTATTTAACCTCCTAGGACCTGGCGTCCACATATGTGGACATCACATTTTGGGTTGTCTAGACCAAAATACTAAATTTTGCTCAACAAGGGCCTCATATCAACTTACGAGCCACTGTTCTACTGAAATCTTAAACAAATATCCTCATATGTGGATCTCATTTTTCTCAGAAACAAAAATTGGGTAAAAAAAAAAAAATCTGGTAATTCTTTGTTTTTACATTCATTGGGTCCCAATATGTCCAAATATCAAAGAGAAATTAAAAATGCATGCCATGGAAGAGCTCAGGTCTTAGGAGGTTAACAGTGCGGTAGCTAACATTGTTAGCTAATCATTTGGCAGCTAAAATTGTTAGCTAATAATATAGAAACTGATTAAACCAGTGAGAGTACAAAATAGTCTTTGGTTGAAATGGATAAAGTATGCATTAGCAGTTGTCTAACAGTAAACCTATCCACAAAGTAAAAATTTATAGGCCTCAGTTAGAATTAGGGTTGCCAACTCCCTGAGGAATAAATAAGGGACACCTCGTGGCCAGGGCCGGGCGACCCAGTTGTCTTCACCCTTCCCAGTGTGGTGAATTTTTTAGCTCTTTTTTTGTGTGTGAAATTATTTTTTTTAACCATTTGACTTGAATTTGATTTAAGTAGATGCGTATTCTTTGTGAAATTACGGAAGCGTAGAGCTGCCACCCAGGCAAAAGAAAAATAGAAGTGTATCACGTTATAACTTGAAAGGTTTATTGTTCTAACAAGATACTTTTCCTGTTTGTACAATATACTATCATGTTTGTACAATATACTTTTCACGTTTGAACAACATAATATCACGTTATTACAATATACATAATCATCACGTTCGTACAATATAATATTTACATTGTACGAACGTGATAATTATATTGTACGAACGTGATAATTATATTGTACGAACGTGATAATTATATTGTACTAACGTGATAATTATGTATATTGTTTATTGTTTTTGGCAAACTAGCAAGAAACTAGCAACAAAACCTCATACCGACTGTCAAGCAAAATGGTGGTCAAAGAATTCAAGAGTCAAATATGAGGCCATCTGTATGACAGCCAATGCTTGTCTGAAACTGCAGCAGGACAACAATCTGAAGCATAGCAGCAAATCTACAACAGAAAAGCTGAAAAAGAAAAAAAATCAAGGTGTTACCATGGCCCAGTCGAAGTCTAGATCTCAACCTGATTGAAATGCTGTTGGCGAGTCCTTAAGAGAGCTGTACATAAACCGCAAACCTCAATGAAGTGAAGCAACACTGTAAAGAAGGGTGAGCCAAAATTCCTCCACAACAATGTGAGAGACTGATAAAGTTATACAGAGTTGTTGTTGCTAAAGGTGGTTCTGCAAGCTACTTAATTGTGGAGTGTAGTTAGTTTTTCACAAGACTGCATAGATTCTTGTGACTACATGGAGGCAGAGCCAGTGAAAAGTTTCTACAGCGCTTCCATAAAAAGAAAAAATAAAACCAGTGAGTTTGCTTACCATAAAAATTGGAAACAGAAAAATACAGCTGTGCATGGTTGATTTAATTATTAATTAATGAGCAATGCTGTAGGCGTAGATGTGCTGGTTCACAGATGTTGTCACATTTGGATAGCATCAGGCCAAGCCAGACTAAGCTGTAGCCATATTTAAAAGATGAGACTGAGTTCTCATACCCTCTCTGAAGTAGCAAATTTCTTTAATTTTATATCATTTCCTTTCGGCACAGAGTTTCCCATTGCACCTTGCTTCCAGAAGTAATTATTTATGCACAAAGATAAATTGTGTCTTGGTCTGCTTGCTTTAATCTCCGACTGCTTTATTCTTCGGATGCTCTAGTACTAAATCACAGCATTGTTCCACCAGGTGTGGGTATTGATAGACATTTTGCAGCAGTTACTTCAGGTCTAGATTTCATCTTGAGTGTTATCCCAAATCCAGCCAATATGTTTAGTCGTCCCCAAGAATGAAGCATGTGCACATAGTGTCTGCCTGTGCTCCGCTGGGAACAGATTTTGGCAAGGAGATGAATAACTGGTCAACATCTGTTAGCACAACATCATTATGACTAACTTGCTCCCATGCTGGGTCCTTTTTACGGAGCCTCAGCAGATGCAGACTTTTATTTCTTTTTGCAAAGTGAGCAACCTTGTAATTCCATTTATAAATTAAGGATACTGTATTATGATCGAGATGCAGTCTATTGAGCTTTTGATTTACACTCAGCAGATGTGAGTTTTGGCCCGTGGAAACTGCTGCTTTGGAGGGGAACAAGTGTTTTTGTTTTAGTTTGGGCTACATGCATAAGTGAGAACTTGGTGTATGGCCTGTTATATTTTGACACATGTAGGTAAAACTATGCGTTTTAATGGTCCTCCCTTTCGTTCTCCTTTGCACTCTGCTTCTCTTGACCAAGTCAGATGCCTGTGATTTCTCCCACCTCTGGGCTGACTGATGTTGTACATTATTAGAGAAATCTTGCATAAGCCTCTGGGCACAAAGGGGAAAGCAGAGCAGACTCCCTTAAGAGTCATTGCCTGAGGTAGTTTTTAGACAAGCTGCTAAAGGGAGGCCTCTACCTCTTTTGCTTTTTTTAATTGTTCCTGCAAGTTGTTTCTTACGTCATTAGTTAAACAATGAACTTAATCCCTTTTGCTCACTCCATTAAGATTTTTGTGTGTACTGGAATCAGTCTCTTCACTTGTTTCTTTTCACTTTTTCTTCTGCCTTGCTTCGATGTCTCCCTGGGTGGGAGGGGGGATCGTGGTCGGCATGTATCAGGGAGTTGCTGACATACCGGCTTTTGGTCGTCTTGCCACGAAAGAAGACAAATTTCCCACACTGTCCATTTAGTATGGGAATCCCCGGACTGCACAGACTTGCTTAGACGGTCCAGGTTCTGTTTCTTAAAGTCTTGTTCACTACGCGGAGCCATTGGGGATTAGGTTTAAACATGTTCACAGGGCAGCCAGCAAAAGACCTGCATGGGATGCTCCAAGTGGTGCATAACGGTGTTCTGTGCTATTGGAGATTGCTGTGCTGTGACAGTTTCGCTGCTTCATACTTGAAGGAGGGGAGATGTGGCTGGAGTCACTAAGGCGATTGTGCAGGAGGTGCAAATCTGGCTAAAGAAGGCATATTGATGCCTTATTTGCATAAGATTGCTGCGAGAGGATGTAAAATGTAACCCGGTCTTGCTATCTTATTTCACAGAGCGGAGGCATACGCCGTAATGTAAAGGCCTTTTGAACTTATTTGGGTTGTTACTGAGAGCACTAGCGTGCAGGTGTGGTACTGTAAACAAAACCAGAGCAGTCAAGTGTGCAAGTACTCCCAGAAATGTATTTATACAGCTTACAGTATCAGGTAACTCTTTCAGTTATGTGTGTCTACACCCCTGTAGGTTTTATCCAGATAGGTACCCGACGCAAGACCTGAGGCACAACTTCTGTCGGAATCCTAACAACGATCCCGGTGGTCCGTGGTGCTACACCACAGATCCCAATGTACGAGCTGAGGAGTGTGGCATACCACAGTGTTCAGAAGGTGAGACCCATGAAGTATTAGCACTAGAAAATAAGATTTAAACAAATAAAACCAAAGGCGATTCATCCGTTGCGCGGTTCATTTTTTTCTAAAAGACACGATTCTTTTTCAATTTCCTTCATAGGCAAAAGAACATTTTGATAACTGTTGCTTCTTTGTTGACAGATGTCTGCATGACATGTAACGGGGAGGATTACCAGGGCAAAATGGACCATACAGAGAGTGGCAAAGAGTGCCAGAGATGGGACTTGGCAAGGCCTCACAAACACCCCTTCCAGCCCAAGAAGTAAGCTGCAGATCACATAGTAATCTTTCTCACAGATAACAACAGCACACATCCATGACACAGGCTTAAAAAAAGAGAGGTAGATCTCATGATTTGTTATGGCTTACTTAAATCCACCTTCGTTTTTTAACATTCTCTGTCCCTCTTTTCAGGTATCGGGACAAAGATTTAAAGGACAACTACTGTAGGAACCCGAATAACCGCCTCCGTCCTTGGTGTTACACCATGGATCCCAAAACTCCATGGGAGTACTGTAACATCACTGTGTGTGGTAAGAGACTGTGCACTGTATATACTCCAAATCTGAGGCTAGGGCTTTGAGGACAAAGTCTTCAAACAAACTGAGAGCAACAAATTATTGTTTTACTCAGATTTATGACTTTATATTGGTTCAAAATGCATTACCCTTGCAGCATTTATGTGTCACACATGTAAGAATGTAATACAGGATTCAGAAGTGAACATATGATTGAGCAAGCTTTGGTTTTTGGATTTGGTTTTTACCACAAGCAAGTTGTTTAAATGTTCAACAGGGAATTGATACATACAAGTTTTGGTGTCTTTGGAGCAGTTGTGGTCAACTGAGCTAAAAGAAAAAAAAAAAAAAAGGTCCCCTTCTCCCCAGCAAAGTCTCAGAAGACTTTTGTTTATCCGGATGGTGTTTTCATGTGGGCGTTTGTTGCTCCAAGTCATTCTACCTCAGCAAGGGACATTAAATAGGCTGTTTGCAAGAGGGCGGTTATAACTTCACAAAGCTTCAAGTGTTTTACTGAAGCCATTTGGGGCTATAAAGTGGAGGACTACAATAGAGGCTGTTATGCCAAAATACCGCACATTGCAATCGGAAAGTCTAAAAGTTGTTTCAGCGGTGTGAACATTGATTGCAAAATGATGCAATTTTATAGAGAAATTAGAGAAAAGACCTGAAATAATGCACAAAGAGCAAAACAGTTGCATATGATTCTTTACAGGGCATGTTGGGTAAAGGGATGATTTGTTGAACAGGAGAATGATGGATGTGAATTATATTGTGTGGCCATAAAAGTAACACTTTTTTGGTGGGCTCGCGTTTTGATGCCTAACTTTTCACATTATGGCTCACAATATACTTAGAACAGACTTCTTGTACAGTCTTTTAGTACAAGTAAGCACACTCCAAAACATATTTGTTGTCAGATATTTGCATAAAGATTATGTTAAAAAAAAAGGTCTTCCCAAACTCTAGCAGACAGATAGAAGTGTACTTGGCACCTGTTTGTGGCTCTCATCGGCCAAGCCCCTTGTAATGCATAACCTTGAGCCTTTATACAATTTAAACAGATGAGTAGCATGGTGGAATCGTTGCCTCACAGCAAGAAGGTCCTTCCACCGTCAGGCCGGGGTCTTTCTGTGTGGAGTTTGCATGTTTTTCTCATGTTTACATGGTCTTCTCTCCGGGTACTCTGGCTTCCTGCCTCAGTCCAACGACATGCAGTTAGTGGGGTTAGGTTAATTAGTAACTCTAAATAGCCCATAGGTGTGAATGTGAGTGCAAATGGTTGTCTGTCTCTATGTGTTAGCCCTGCAGCACTGGCGACCTGTCCAGGGTGTACACTGCCTCTCGCCCTAAGACAAGTGGGACAGGTTCCCCCCATCCCCCCGGCGAGCCAAAAAGAATGGATGGATGAATGGAGTTATATTAAAAACAAAAAGGCCCATATATTTGTCACAAAGGGGAAAATTATATATATAAAGTTTGTTTTTGTTTTTTTACACCAGGCAGTAAACATGAAGTTAAGCATTTTAACATGTGTGCCTTTGACTGATTCATTTTTGGACCCAGGAATTGCAGTTTTTGGCATCTTTGCGTTGCCTCCAGAAGTTGGCTCTTGGATCTAAAATGTTAAACAGTGAGCTTAAGAGGTGCTAGTAGAGATATTTGCTTTGACAGTTCCTACTGATTCCAGGTTTTGCACTAAGGAAACCCTTCTGTTGCAGGGGTGTCAAACTCAAATACACAGTGGGCCAAAATTCAAAACTGGAACAAAGTCGCGGGCTAACATTAATATGAAAAAAAATATATGAAAAAAAACTTCCTCTAGATATAAGAATGAATCTTTTCTTATGGACTCAAACAGGTTTTGCTGAAAAACTGAATATGGAACAAGCAAAGCTTAATACTAAACAATATATATATTAGCTGTATAATACCAGTAGGCCAGCTCTAATAGTAATTTGGTATGGCTTCGCGGGCCAAATGTAATTAGGCTGGCCCGCGGGCCTGAGTTTGACACCTATGTGTTAAAGGGTCATTCACTGATCAAAAATGACTGTCCTTGAAGATGGAGAGGGTGGAAATCTGAGTGATACTAGGTATGAATGTGCATTTTATCACAGACAGGTATAGCTAACTGGGTTGTGCAGATGAACCATTTGCCCAAAGTCTTCTCCAGGGGCCTGGAGTTATAGTCCACACTGGGTCCTTTATTGCATGTTGTTCCACCCACTTTCTCTCCCTATAAATATATATATAAAATTCAGTAATTAAAGTATGTGTCTGTTATACACTGTTGCATTCTGGATGTTAGTTAAAACCAAAAAAAAAAAAGTTTGTCCCATACGGGGACAAGTATATATATGACATGTTGCCTTTATATATAATTGAAAAGACAGAGGGAAAAGGAAATCAATGGAAATTAGAAAAGATGTCGCGAAATTGGAGAATTTGCATTGAAATATTCCCATATGCACACCCACAACCTCACAGAGCATCTCTCTTTGTCTCTGTCAAACACATACACGCATTGACTTTAGTGTACAGGTTATGATTTACAGCGAGCATCTGCATTTGTCCAGATGTGTGTATCCCTCAATGCCTGCCCTTAGAAAGATAAAAACCACTGACCTGTGCTACACTGTGCACACAGATACTGGCATGCATTACATCAAGCCAAAGAATCCTTTTCCACCCACCTTCTCGTTTCAACCTCAAAACATTCCCTCGCCTCCTCCATCTTCTCCCATCCCATTTGTCAAAGGCTAAAGAAACAAAGACAGAAATCTGGAAATTGCTCACTGTGTAGTGCTACCCCTGCACTGCTAGGCGGAACACCAGAATTCCATCTAAAGATGTTTGGAATAGTCTGCCAGTGGATAATATCGACCAAATCAGACTGGGTTTGTTGCCATTTTCTTTAGTTGGCCTGCAATAGAGAAATTCACAAGAATCATAATGTCAGTGTTTCATTTTGAAGCAAAGGTATAAATAAGATCAGGCTTCGAGCTCTGTGACTTGTTCTGTCAGCAAGTTAACCAACTTCTCATTGTTGTGGATGTACATACGTGAAAGAATGTCAGGCACCACTAGTATGAACACACAGTAAGTTTCTATTACTATACAAGCAGGGGAAAGGGCTACTGTTTTTGATCATCTGCCTCTAGGTTAAACATGACACATTCTTGTAGGGATTAATATTCCCCTCCTTCTCTTCCTCCCTCATTCCTGACTACAGTTTGCTTTTTCAGTGACTTTCTCTTTTTTTGCATGCTTCCACCTTACAATGACATTTATCTGTTTCAGGTTCAGACCCTACCGAGGACTCCGATGTTGAAGTAACAACTTCCTGTGTCCAGGGAAAGGGCACAGACTACCAAGGCACAATGAATGTCACCCCGGAAGGTGTGACATGTCAGCGCTGGGATTCCCAGTTCCCACATAGCCACTCATTTCTTCCGCAGAACTACAAATGCAAGTGAGTAACGGCTGCTTCATAGCTGCTGACAGCATGGATTCACTTCTCTCAGGAATGTCAAGAAGAGTACTTGAGAGTATTTTGTGCATTTAACACCATCATCGGCATCATCATGTAAATTGTAGTTCGTGTGTGTGTTATAGAGACCTCAGAGAGAATTACTGTCGCAATCCTGATGGTGCAGATTACCCATGGTGCTTCACTACAAACCCTAATCAGAGGATAGCCAATTGCACCCACATCCCCAGATGTGGTGCAGAGGCTACACAAAAAGCAGGTAAATTCTATGAAAATTAATTTCTGAGAATTGCTCAGTGTTTTGGGGAATGCAGTTGTTTGCTTTGTATAAAAAAGGGAGTAACAGCAAGCATAGACAATCGTGTTTATTTAGTTTTTTAAAAAATGTATTGTAAAAACAACTTAGAGTCTTGTCATCACTTTTGAATAAAGGTTATGGCTCAAAGCCAGGTTCATTTGACATAAAGCCAAAATCGGCTTTGTTAAATCTTTTTTTGTTATATCAGTTTAAAGAAATACATTCTAAAGTGTTAAATGCTGTTGCTTTCAGACAGGGCCAGATTGCTTTCCTCAGTCTTTAATTGTGAGAATATATATTTGAAAAAGTGTCAATCTTTTCTTCTAAAATTACTAGAATATTTTAAAAGTAAATAACAAAGTACATTCAATCAATTACTAGGAAATTTCCATGTTGAATTCCAAACTACAGATGTTTTAAAAGATATGTCATGCTTTTGTAAAGTAGAAGAATACTGCTCTCATAAGACTGAGCCACTTGTCAACGGGCTGCCCAACGAATTCCATTTCATGCAAGAATAACAACACCAGACTTTGGCAATAGCTGCTCGTTGTCATTTCCCATGTTTCTCTGCTTTGCACTTTGTAGAACACACATGTCTCAAAGCAGCCAGTCAGTTTGAAACTAAAGGCCCTTCTCTGATTCTATTTAAGACCAGAAATAATGAGATTTGGGAGACACCGTTTACACAGAGGCCCATAATATTAAATGGTCCAAACCACAAAGACAAGCATAGACCCAAATTCTTTCTCTGTCTCTGCAAGCACATGAATTTGTGTTTGTGAGTATTCCAACAACATGAAGAGATGTTTAACCAGCTGTTGGGCTCACTAAGCTTTAGCGCTTTAACAAAGTCATCTGAATAATTTTATCCTGTTCTATCTCAGAGTGTTATGAAGAGAATGGAGAGACTTATCGGGGCACTTTATCCATAACTCGATCGGGGATTCCCTGTGCAGACTGGTCACATCACATAAACAGGTAATGAAATAATTTGTTCTGCAAAGACTTTTGTGGCATTTCTGTTGTTGGCTCCCAGTGCAACTCCCGCCGTACCGAGCAACCCTGCAACTGTTTCCTAGAGAGATTGACATTCTTTTCAGCTCACTTGATGAGTGTTTGTTGACAACTTAGCTCCCATTGCCTTGTGAAAATCCCTTTCAAATGAATGAGGCTAAGCACTGAAAACAAACAGCAAGAGGAAATCAGGGGTTCCACAGGGGTCAATACCAGGTCCAATTATTATTCATCTAGCTGACGAGAGGAAACCCGAGGGTGCTCTCAAAGTGACCCATACTGGGGGAAAGACTGCCCGCTCCAAGGCCGTTACTTCACGCTGAAGTCAGCCTGTTGGAATTACTTAATTTACAGGAATTTTAAAAGCCAAAATGGCACAGACAGATGGACATGTTCCAGAGCCGACCCTTGACCCCAGGAAGTGCTTTCTTAGGAAAGTAGATCAAAGCCAATCAGCTCCCTCCCGTAGAATGCAGCCAGCAAGTCTACTCTGTTCAAGGCTCAGGGTCATACTAGGAAACATGCTCAGAGCTACAAGTTGTTTAACATTCTCCTGGGAAGTAGAATTGTCTTCACCCCCTTACAAATTATCAGTTGATTAGAATAATTTTTGTGTGCGCGTGTCTGAACTCTTACCAAGTAACTGTGTTTTTTACGGGTATTGTGGATGGCTTAGATGACACACAATTAGATATAAATTCCTACAAATCAGAAGCAAAACTGCATCATTCCATAGAGGATGTGGCTCCTGCTGGTCTGAACCCTGCTGAACGCTTAGACTGCATACTTTTGAACTCCCATGAGCACTCTTCACAAAACTCTGCGTTTCCTTCTACAGGCTAAGCAGCAAATGATGAGGATTCATTGCATTATAGGAGAGCCAGAGTCAGAATTTTCTAGGCATTCCACGGTTACTTTCGTGTGTATGTAATATATGTGCCTGACAGCATTTGTGCAACTCCGTGTACACATGTGCCCACCTTTATGAGATATGACCCAGTATTAGTTTTTGTCTTTCTGCAAAATAACACATGGGATATGATAATCTGTATTTGTGTGTTTTACAGTGGGGATTCTCACTCTACGGTGTCCCATGTAGGGCTGGAGAAGAACTACTGCAGGAACCCAGATCGCGACAGACACGGCCCCTGGTGTTACACCAGTCCAAATAACCGCCTGGCCTGGGATTACTGTAAACTAAAACACTGTGAGTTCCTTAAATAAACATTTACCCTATGTAAGTTTCAGTAAGTAGATAATATCTGTGTTTACCCAAGTAGAATGAGAATGAAATATATCTGTGTATGTGTGTATGTAAATGTGTAGTCAGTGCCAATATCTGATAAGCTTTGATTATGCATGCTTAACCAAAGACCAACGGGACCACAACTCATCCATACTAATACTAAATACTCACACATACTAAACAAGTGTGATATAACTGTTGAATTTCCAGAACAGATGGATGTTTATTATATCATCCGGTGGTTTGTAGGCCACAGCTTTGAAGCCACAAATATTTAATTTTGCCATAGTCATTTTGGGCTTTTTGATGTTGGATGTGATGATATTTGGATCAGAAGGCAGACCTGCAGAGCTGCCAGCTGACACTAGCTTGGTTTGTAATTGGTTCTGTAATTTACTATATTAAATGAGATGCTATTATTTGGCTAATGATAACAAACTTAAAGTAAAAACTATGTACCCGAGTGACTTTAACTGCAGCCAAACCCAAACAAAGCAAAACAGCATCGTTTCTGGCAGCCAACTCCTTCCTAATGCTTACATTTAAGTCATAAATTCAATGTTTATAACTTAGGTAATATATAAAAAGAAACACCGCCATACAGTCAGTGTAAATGTTAGCTATTAGCCATCAAATCATTTTCATTCTTTGCTGTAAATGTGTTTATTTTTGCTTCAAAGTTGGGCATTTAACATGGGAGTGTATGCATGTACAGTGTAATAGATGGATCACTTTTGAAACCTCAAGATGAGTGATCACCATCTTGGTTATGAAAAAAGATGTGATTATAAAGGGTGGGTCTGACTTAAACCACAAGCTTATTGGCTAAAAAATGTTAGCTAATGACTTTCTGTACTGGGTTCATTTTTCATACCCAGAAGCTACATCCATGTTTTGTACCCTCTTTGGCCTTTGCGGATTGATTGGCTTTCTGAACCTGTCTTAAGTGGCCATTAGAGCAACTGCAGTTTTTGGCACTTGGGCATTACCTTCTTTTAAAAGCTTTAAAGGCTGCTTAGGAATATATGTCCCTATTTAATTTTGTGCTAAGCTAACCAGCAAGGCTGTGTTAGGTAGTCTGTAACACCCAGGAGAGAAGCATTGCTCGCAAATCAAAAACATGGCTGTCTTTAAAGGCAGAGAAGCTTGTCATGAAACTGAGGGGTACTAAATGTGCTTCCTTTTTATCAACAAAGAAGAAGTTTTCAGAGCCTTTGAGACTGTTTAAATGGGACATCTGAAAGAACATGTAATGGCATTTAGAACAGAAGAAGTGCTGATGTGTGGGTGTAGTACATTGAAATAACACAAGTGATTTAGCTTCGTAGCCTTTACTGACTTCAACCAAAATATCATAATTGTTTTCTTGCACAGCTTTCTGGACGGCTTACGTAATCTGTTCGCTGTGGTTTAGTCCAATTGGCAGAGAATACACGATGCTCAAACAGCAAACAGATGCGAAAGTCTGTTGCCATTTCATTTGAGAAAACACACACTTGGGCCACTGGACCCTGCATGTTCTTTGGCTGGTTTCAGTGAAGCTGCATTGAATATTTTCCATAATGTAAAACACGTCTTCCTTGAAGTTTTAAGGTCTCGAGCAAATCTATTTGTTGCGGTTGCTGACTAATATAGCCTCCAGCAATTATTTAGATCCAGAGATAAGACTTTATAAAGTATAAAAGGCTGTCATATTTACTCAGGTTTCATGTTTTGTATGTTCCCTGCTGCTGTGTGGTGTATGTTCATATTGTACTTTGCTTTACTTACATCAGGTGATTCAGCTACAAAGGCTCCTCAGACAAATAGTGAGTATGTCTTTTTCTTTCTTTTTACCAAAAATGGTCCTCTTGCTCATGTGCTTATCTCTGATCTCCTTCCTTTCCTCTGTAACTCTCTCTCTCTGTAGATCAAGTCCGTCTGTTGATATTTACCTAACTGAACAAATAGTTTCCTTTTGAAGTTTTGATAAATATTTTCCAATGGAAATGTTAAAAAACTACATCTGTCTAACACACAGTATCAATTATATCTCCTTGCTTAGTTCAAACGAGGCCCAAGATATCATGCTTTGTGCACATAAACACCAGAATAGTTGGAGGACATCAAGTGCGAGGTACAGATGGCAGCTGGGTTGTAAGCATCCAAAGACAGTAAGTGGTTTTCAGTCTTTGTTCTTTAGAAGCCTAGACCTTCATCCATGTTTATGCTGTGTACTGTGATCGATCCATTTTTCTTCTTACCTTTTCCTAGGAAGGTCCATTTGTGTGGTGGCTCACTAATCAGAGAGAACTGGGTTTTGACAGACCAGCAGTGCTTCACCTCCTGGTAATTTCTCTCCCTTTTCAGACTTTACTTTCTTTCTTTCTTTAAAAACGCTTCCTTTGCTGCTTATATCTATAATTGTTTAAAGGCTGCACAGCGTACTGCCGACAGACTTGACCTGAGATAGGGACCGCATGTTTTGGACTGCTGTTTAACCTGCAGTTGCTTATGTCAGAACTAATCATATTGTCCTTGTGCAATGTCTCTGTCATGTGTAGCACTGGCTTTGATTAAAAAAAAAAGATCCCTTTTTTCTGTAGTAATGTGCAATGCTGCAAGTAATACATATGGTGTAGATCAGCAGCTTTTAGCAGATATTTTGATTTAGCGGGGAGCCTCGAGGTGCTTGAGGCCTTGCCTTTTTTTGGCTTTTTTCTATATGAAAAAAAATACATATTTGGCATTCAGGAAATGTTATTTTAAGAAAGTAAGTGTGTTTTTGAAAAATATCAAGAGCTAGTGGAATGTGTTAACTAAAAAAAAAAAGTAGTATTTGTAAAGACAGTTTTGTGAGATTTGTTCAAAAGAAAGGCTGCTCTAGATCTGGGCAGGATTTCCTATTGAATCCGGTCAGTTGAATCATCATTTGACTGTAATCCACTGTACGACTCAAAAAAACCGTATGACTCTGTCTTACACTGACTCTTGTAATCATCAGCGTTCCAGATCTCCGGGATTACAGTGTGCAGGTCGGTCTGCATCACCTCGATGAGTCTAAAAACCGACCGCGACTACGAGTCTCTCGCCTGATCTGTGGCCCAGACGGCTCCAACCTAGTAATGTTGAAGCTAGCAGAGTAAGTGCTCAGTTAGTGGCTAGTGTCAGCTGATTTATGCTTCTAGTTAAAGAAAAAGACAGTGATATAAAATACTGTGAGTGCTTTAAATGTAAAAAGAAAGGTCGTGCAACATGCTTTGGCTTTTATTTGTGATGATTTCTGTTGGTTCTAGTCCTGCCCCTGTGTCTGAAGGTGCATCCACCATTCATCTTCCCGTGAAAGACTGTCGCATCCCTGAAGGCACCAACTGCACCATGTATGGATGGGGGGAAACCAAAAGTACTGCCTTCTTTCAACCACATGCTGCTTTCCATGTTATTTTTTAATGACAAAAAAAACACTGCTCCTTTTACAAGTTGCTTATTGTGTTTTTTGTATCCTTCTCTGTGCAGATACTGGACACGATGAAGCCCTTAACTCTGTAATCATGCCGATGGTGGACAACGACATGTGCTCGCAAATCAAAGAAGACGCCGGGGAAAGCAGAATATGTGCTGGCGGGAAAAGGGGAGAAGGCGTGTGTGATGTAAGGATCTCAAATCGCCAAATGCATCCTGAAGCAAAACAACATGGATGTGAACTGAATGCTC